CTTACAGGTTGAAGATGGAAGGTTAAGCTAGCACCCATAACAGAATAGAAGAAACAGGATCTTAAAACACAAAAAAAACCCAATGTCTTCCAACGCATTTTTCATTGCTGAAAGGCACAGGCATTAGAATTCAGATTCCTTTGGGATGTGAATGTGGCAGCCAGGTTTACTTGGAATGCACTTATTAACAAACTTTGTGGTTATGAAACAATTTAATAATGGATGTAGTCTAGTAGTATTATGTTATCCTACTTGCAGGATGTTTGGTAGGTGCTTAACAAAAGCCAGTTGTCACAGCTCCTCTCCGTATCACCTCAATGTGTTACAAACTACCACCATTTTTCCACGGTTGCGATGATTGCTTCTCCACTGACTTGCAGGCGGTGGAGCAGGGAGGGAGAACATTCCTACGTAAAGTAGTATTTTTATTCGGAAACTCAAATGCTATTTAATTTTCTGCTGCGAAGTTGAAATTCTGCTTCAGAAGTTACTGGTTCTAAATGGTTTAAATTCCGTAGACACCCACTGAAACTTGCAAAAGAAGTAATTTACTGTTGCTTGTCAGATGCAGAGATCAGCCTTGTTGCTTGTGGCTTTTTAATACAAGGTGGTGCAGATCCACGGGACTGAGGTGAGAAGTCTCGTGGAGTGAGGGTTTCCTGCAGCCTGCCAAGTGAGCAGAACACGTGTTGTGTTTGTTACTTGTTGAAGCCGACACAGGGCTTCATCACCCAAGGCCTGTCAGTGCTCCTCATTACAATTCCCACTGTCTCGATCAAAACCTTACATGACCAACACAAATCCAGAGTCCGTTTCTTCATGCTGTTGCGCATTTTCACTTGTGGATATTGTTTTCAGTATCAGCGCTTGATGATAAAATGGTGTTGGAGACAACTTACTGGACCAGTCCAGAAAACTGACCCTTTCGTTCTGTTTTCCCTTGATCCACTGCGACGTGCTTCAGTCCACCACGGACTAGGTGAAAACATGCCACCTAATTACAGTTGTTTGCTTGTCCAGTGGGAGTAACAAAAAATGCCAAGGCTTCCTTTCCTTCTCTGGATGGAAACTGTAATGAGCTACTTTGCCCAATTATTTTTCTTGTTCTTATGGCAGAAGATACACGTAGTTCAGAAGGAATATCTAACGCTTCCAGTGCCATGTCCTTTGTTTACTGCAGTTGAATGACATTCTGACAAACCCGACAGAAGGCCAGTTCTGGCAGGTAGACCACATCAAGCCCGTTTATAGTGGAGGAGGACAGTGCTCCCTGGAAAACCTTCAAACGCTGTGTACGCCCTGCCACAGAGAGGTCAGTATGGTACAGCCAGCAATCCTCACAGAGATGTTGTGGTGTGTGCACCGGGGGGAAGTATTTTGGGCACAAGGACCCCTGGAGATGCTGTAGCCTGACCCCAGGCTCAGAGCAGGGCTAGTGTCAGAGTCGGAGCGGGCTGCTCTGCACCGCCCTGTGCAGTCCTGCCCAGTCAGTGCCTGCCCACCCTCAGGGTGAAACCTCCTCCTGTGTCCCATGGGGATGTCGTGTCCGTCCGCCCCACCCCAGCAGGGCTCTGGCAGTGCTGCCCTGTGCCCCTGGGGAGGGCCTGGCTCCCATACCTCCTGCTCCTCTTTCCAGCAGAAGACTGTAATTAGGTTCCTCCTCAGCCCTGTTGTTTCCAGCTGAACAAGCCCTGTGTGCTTCCAGCCTCTCCATCCCATACAGTGAGGATGAAAGGAAGCATTAAACTGTTACAACACAACAGTTTCCTCAGGATTTGGGAAAACGTCACCTTAACAAACATTTCCATTTTATTATGTTGTCCACTGCAAAACTAGAGCGAAGTGTAACCGTGGGCTAATGCTTTCCCTGGAGCAGGCTGTTGCCAAGTAACAATCCTCACTGAACAGCCCTCTCTTTCTCTTCCGCAGAGAACTGCAAAACAGGCCAAGGAGAGAAGCCAGATGAAGAGACGTTCTGCAGCTACAAAGTACGGCTGTGATATCACCAAATTTTTTGTGAAGATGTAAAATGCAAAAGATATTTGGTTCCATTCTAACTCAGAAACCAGTATAGTTACATAGTCTTCCCCATGCACTGATTTAAAAAAACAAACAGAAACAAACCTTTGTAGTCTATCATGCTGTTGGTAGAGGGAAGAGAATACAGAATTAAAACCAAGAAATCATTTGTAACACCGATTGTCAGAGGGCCTTGGGTGAGTGCATCCAAGGTACGTGATCATGGTTATATTTTTATGGCCCTGTGGTTTAAAGCTAAATTTCTGTGTGTAACTTTGATGCAGTTTTGAAGCATTACTGGTTTTCTATTGCAGAGTAGTTCTAGCTGCAAGAATTCGAGGAAGTTCTGTTGAAACTTTTGTTGGTTTTACAGAGTTCAGTTGTATTTGGGATATTATGGACCAAGAAGATATCTTAGCTTAAATTATGTTTGTTCACACATCAAAATTACTGGAGAAAACGCAGGCTCTGATCTCTATTATGACAAAAAATAGTACGAGTGAGTGACTCCTCTTCTAAAACTGCCTCGTACCTACCAACCATACTGACAGCAGCCTGGGGAATGCTCACGCTGGCCAGGAAGGCCCACTGTTGGCACCGCGCCTGCCCCACGGGACGTCAGTGTTTAGAATTAATGTCTGTTGAAATCTGTTTTTACTTAAACCAGCTGGTATTAAATACTTACTCATGACAGGGAACAACAAATAGTACGAATTTTCAAAGGTAGTTTCTGGCAAATGCTACAGTTGCATTCTCTTCAACAGGATTGCAGACATGCTGGTTCTTCTGGGCTGTTTCTGTGGCTTTCTTTACGGTTACTTCAAATAAACACATTTCCCTCTGTCCTGGTGATGTTTCTAATGCTTTATCAGCCTCTCTCCCACCCCTTGAATGCCGTAAGGCAGTAGTAAGCTTATAAAGCGCATCCGTACACTACACATCTCTCTCTGGAAGTACATGACTGCAATTTCAACTACATCTAGCTGAATTTTCCCTGGATGTGTTTAAGAAAAGGGTGGATGAACTACTTAGGGATATGGTTTAATGGGAGATTAGGGACGGTTGGACTGGATGATCTCTAAGGTCTTTTCCAACCTAGAAAATCTATGAAATAAGCTGAGAAAAGTGTCCTATGTTATCCTTACGAGAAAAACTATTAATATTTTAAACATTCTTTTTCTCTGTTAAAGTTAAGAGACAGTAGTGTTGTAAATACACCATTTTCTGTAGAGTGAAACTAACTGGACTTTTCCAGTGAAGAGAGAAACATCTTTAGGGAAGTGCCTGAAAAAAGGTGTTACATGATGTTTGTGTTCTCTGAGCATGATTAAAGGAATTGTCTCTTCAGCAGTTTAAAAGACCAAGTCATAACAGCCTGAAAACTGAGGGATTTTTTTCAAGTTTATACAGCCTTTACAAGAGGACACATTTTAATGTAAAATTTCCTGAAGAGAGCCTGTCAGGAGAGGAAGACACCAAGTATCAGGGAGGAAGCTTAAGTTAAAGATTACTTATTCAGTAATTAGCCTAGTGCAATGTCTTTTACTAGGTAGTAAACAACAGCTAAACTGGTCTTAGTCTCCCTCATCCCTTTTAGCAGAGGAATTTGCCTCAGGTAAACACAAGAAGCCTGGAGAACAGAGAAAATCTTGACAAAGAATTTGAAGAACATTAACTCTTCTTGTCCTGAAAAATGTGTTTCTACTTGATACAGCTTTACCTGAGGGGAGCACTCTAGCCCCTGACCCCCGTTCCCCTCAAGTAAGTTTTAGGGGGACCTATATAGCTGGGGGACGTAATAGCTGGGACCCTACAGAGCTTAACTTTACTTACAGTAGTGACAGCCACGAACAATGCTGTCCTAGGTCAAATCATGCAAGGATGACATTTGACAAGTTTTTTGGCAAAACCATTGCTAGTACCCGAAGAAGTCTGAGGGCCAAGAGTAAGTTCAGATTTATTGAATAACGTCAACAACAATACCATAGCTGTTTTTACACTGTGGCTTGTAAAGTAAAGCAGATCTTTTGCTGATTCTCATTAAAACACACGCAGATCACTGTAAAGCAACGCTGCACAGACACATCATGGTGTCTGCATGATACCCCGTGGGGTTAGTTCCCAGAGGTGATTGATCTGATACCATGAAACAATTCTAGGACACAGTATGCATTCAGATGGTCTCTGTAAACACCAGTAAGTTGCTTACAGTGAAACACCTCCGTACGTGTCATTTACACACAGCTTTGGCCCTTGCATGCGGGGAAGGATGGAAAGTATCCAAAACCATCAGTGATCCACGTTAGGCCATCAGGCTTACTGTCCAGTTACAGCCCCAATTGTATTGATTCCTGTTTGGGAGGAGTGTCCAAGAGAAGGTCTGTTTGGACAAGTGCTGCAATGCTTGGAGAGCTTAGCATGAACTAGAATGTACTGTATACTTGGAATACATTTAAGGATGTTTTAGAAGTATCTGCAACGTAATGATTAACCAAAAAATACTGGGCTCAATATTTATAATTAGCAATAAATACAAATTATTTAGTGTTTGCACATTAATTTAAGTAGACTAAAGTCACTTGCCAAAGCCTGATTAAGAACTGTAAAGCAGCATGTTCTGCATGAATTTCAACATGAAGTATTTGCACACAGCCCATTCGTGTCCATGAGTAAACAAGCGAATGCAAAAAAGGAAAATAATATGCTCCCTTTGCACAGAGAGGAGATGGCTAAACTTTCTTCCCCAAAGATCAAATTAAAACTACTGGTGAAGCCACTCCAAACCTCCAAGCTAGAGGTGGCACAGGCATCCTTCCCACTGCCAGTTCAGCTCCATCCTTGGGAACGTGACCCTCCGTCACTGCTGACACCCACAGTGTCTCCTCACCACAAGCCAGTTGATCGGAAAGCATGAACTTCCCCGAAGGAAAACGACCAGCGTCCTACTTGTGAAGAGACACGAGGTAACACTGCTGGTTCCATCAGAAGAAGGTCGTGTCTGCTGAAAAGGCGCCTGCAAGTCGAAAATCCTCCTTGGTCAGCACGCTGTACATGCGCTGGGGCAGCGGTTTGGAGTATGGGGCGGGCCGGGGGACAGTCGTGCGCAAGATGACCTCGCGCCCCGTGGGCGGTGGGAAATCCGGCACAGTGACCGCGTTGGGTCGTCGCTCCTCTGATGAGCCCGATCTCCTCAGTTCTTCATCCAGTGGAGGCACTGCGGAAACCTTGAATGAGAGCAGAGGTATAATTACAGGGCAAGCTGTTTCCTAACGTTAGGATTCAGAAAACATTTCGTAAGAGGAACAGAGGAACATCAGAAATGGTCAACACATCAAAAGGCTTTATGCGTACACAGAGCAAGACACTAATGGGATGTCAGGAAATAAACTGCGCACGATCAAATGGAGGAACCTTCATATGTGGATGGTGAAGCTCAGCCTAGGTTAAGCTCCTGACTTTCTGACAGTGTGAAGCCAGGGTTCGGACCAGACGAAACGCTCTTCTCAAGCAGGGCTCTCTTTACGTGAGGCCAAGCCAGCCTCTTCTTAAAAATAACCAGCGCCAATACTGGAGTCTTGACAAAAAGCCACCTGCCTTTTCGAACTCAACACGCTACTTCAAGGCTTGTCAAAACGGCACTGCAGAGCAAGCGAGATGCTGGGCAGTCTCCATTGCCACCCATTGCTTCGGAGCCAGTAAGCAGCAACACTCAAGTCTGAACACTGGAAGAGCTGGCATGCTCCAAACAGCCCAATAAGCATTCCCTAATTCCTTATATATACACCCCCCAATACCCTATAGGGCCCTAATTTAAGTGTACACAACTCAAGGTTATCCATGTCATTGAGGCATGGCACAACCCACCGGACAACCCTCGTGGCCCCTCTCGGCTGCCCCACTGCACTTCTGCTCCCACCCCTCTCCTCCACACCCTCCCCAGGAGCAAACACCCAGCACCACGCGGCTCTGCGGTCTCTGCCGCAGGAGAAGGCATCAGGGACAGGTGCCACTTGTTCCCACAAGAGCAGTTGTAGGAAACAGAGAGAGAGGATGTTCCCCGTGCTACACTCCTGCACGCCGTTACCCCAGCGCTTCCCCAAACCTCTCTATCTCTGCCCAAGCTCAGCAGTGTCAGGAAGTGCTGGTATCTGGGATTGCGGCAATCAAGTACTGTCCATCTCTGCCCGAGCCCCCAGGCACCTGGCTGCTCAAAAGACACAACACTGATGGTGGCAGAGAAGAATACAAAGGCAAGGCCACATATTTCAGCATCAGAAAATGTTCATATTCACTTGAAAAGATGTTTTTGGTTTGGTTTTGGTGGGGTTTTTTTTACCATTTCTCTCTCTTCACTACCTGTTAGGCTCTAAAAATAAAGTCTGTGAATGAGGACAAACCATTCTGGAAACACAAAATTATTTTTATGCTTAATATGTGAACAACAGTACAAACTAAATCAGGCTGCTGTACTCTATCTACCAAAAGGTTCGGCTCTATGCAGCTGGGGAAAATGAGTGGGAAACGAGGGACAAAGTTGGTTACCTCGTCAGAAGATTCAGTCAGCTTGGAAAGGGATGAGAAAAGAACCAGTGATGAAAGATAGAAACAAAGGCAAGTCAGAGGTGACTTACAAGAGGTTAGAAGGAGGTTGTAGGTTTGAGAGATATCATGCACTCTACTTCCAAGAACATGCATTTGGTATCATAATTTTCCTGAGAAAATTTGAGAATACAACAACGCATTTTACACAACTCAGAGGAGTCCAGGTGCAAAAGGTACTGAACAAGGAAGTCACTCAACTTCTGTTTGCCAAACGGCGCTCTGCTGGCATAATTAACGGCAGGTTAAACACGAGGGGTTCCTGGTAGCAAGGCAGCTCCTGTCCCACTACGAAGCTGTACTTAACAGTGACCAGCTTCCAGCGGGAAGTACTGATGTCTCAAAGGAAACAAACCCCTAGAAACGATTGTACGTACGTCTTTATCGAACATTAACGCTAGAAACGCTCACTCAGCTTTATAAAGGTCATGCCTCAATGCTCCAAAGGCAACTCACACGGCACCATCTTAGGCTTGACAGGGAAGTCCCTGCATAAGGCTGGTTGACATGTTGAGATTTGCAACCAGGTTTTCCCTAGAGACTAGAAAGACACCATAAATGTTCTGATTTTCATTTCCCAGAATAACCATAGTCTGTTTTCAGAATGGTCCTTTATATGCCGAGTTGCAAAATATGGATTATTATAACTGCATCCATATCTTAAAAGTGTTTAGTACCCAATCATAAGGTTTCTACAGCAATGACTTCCAAACACGATTTCAGGCCGTAAGATGTCTGCGATACTCTGCTACCTTCTTATTACCACTGTAGTTAAGCTTTAGTTAGCTAATCTGATGCTATGAACAGGTGTAATTCTGACAGAAACTGAAGGCTGACTGCCTTCAAGTTTGGAAATCAATACTTTAAGCAGTCTTTGTAATAATTAGCCTTAAGAGAAAAAGGGCGTGTTTATAGCAATCCAGGCTGGGGAAGGGTTTCCAGAAAACAGATGCAACACTTGCAATAAGTAAACTGAATGCAGAGCTGTACTGGAAAAGAACTGAAACTTTTCCTAAGCACGCCAGTTTCCACAGAACAAGTCTCAAGTACTCCAAGCATAAGCCTGTCAAAAACGTTACTCCTTCTAAAATATCAATGTTATGACATGCTTCTCTATGTGACACAATCAATCAGCAGACTTGATTATTCTTGCGGTGATATTGCAAAACTTGAATAAAGCAGAAATTCGTGCCGCAATGGCATTGCTGATGTTACCATTCGAAGTAAATCAAACATTAATGACACCTCTGTCTACCCAGATGGCTTTAACTGTTTCACATCCCAGGTCATCTACCCTCCTTTTGCCTTGCAAGGTTGTGTTTTGCCAAAATCATGTTGAACATCACAAAAAACCTCTCAAGCACATTTATGACAATACATGCATATAGGCGGACAAAATAAACTGGCATCACATGGTAAGTCCTCGCCTCCTACTGCTTGAATTCGAGGTGTCTGCGAAGCAATCAAGAACTCTCCCTTACCCTTTGAGCATTCACAAACAGCTTGTGAATAATGCTACCAGCAGGTCCTCTTCCTGCACCAACAACTGACACTTCTGGCTGCTCCAGGAGACAGTTTACGAATCTGGTGGTACAAATTATGAAAAAGGAAAAAGGAACGTTTAATACTCAGCTGTATCCAGTTTGCTTATCTAAAACCAGAATTGTTTCCTGTGAGGAGGTATCCACTTCGCACTATTTGCAGAGAGTGAGAACTGGCAGACGCTCTCAAGAGTTCTCCATTCTAAAAGTTTAAGGAAAAAAACCTGACGTTTCTCAGCATCCCACTCAAACACTATCATCACTTTTTCATCCCTTTACTCCTTTCCCTCTACCCCAAAGACTAAACTCCTCTTAGCCTTCAGCTGTTCCCTCCTACCCTGTTGCTCTTTCTTTCATGCTAGTACAAGCAGCTGTTCTTTCACAGATAATGTAGGTCAAAGCTAAGCTGAGCACAGCAGCCTCCCACATAAGGTCAGGGAAGGCAGGATTATAGAGCTGTTTGCGCAGTAATTCCAGCAGCAGGGCCAACTAACACCGAGGCTGCAATTCAGCCTCTGGAAGGACCCACTTCTCTCAATTAACTATAAATGGAACCCTGGCTTCTAATGCAGATGTACAAATTCAACGTGAAAAGCCTTCACGGTGTCAGCCACACAGAAGTAGCAGCAACATGACAGTTTTCTTGAGCGCAAAGATACTTGCCTTGGTCAGACATCACTCCTCTGAACTCCTACATGCACCACAAAAATGTCATCTCTCCCTCTCAGCACAGCAACAAGAAGTTAACATTTGGGGTTTTTTAACATTACGTACTAGTCATCTTAAGCAATGAGTAAATCATCTGACAGCAGGTAGTGAAGCAATGAAACATGGCTTGTCACTTTTCATTCACGTAGTTCCTCAGTGATACGGTTCAAAATAGTAAGGAGACTAGAATAAGAAAACGTAACTTTGGGGGGGTATTTCATGCCATATTAATTCTAGAAAATACTAAATTCCTACTCCTTTTAGTTTTCATTTTATTGTAATAAAGTTCATCAAATGTACCTTTTACATACACGAAAAAATAAATGAAATCTCCACTACTGTCAAGATAAAAAAAATGCCATTAAAATAATTTGTATCACATGATTTCAAAGAGATCTTAGAAGAGCATTTAGGGTGCCCACATATAACATCTCTAGGTAGCCTGGGGACAGCGACACCTAATGTTTATAGCTACTGGAAATGATTTCTTAGTGTTTCTATATTATCATCACTTCCATCTGTCCCAAATTTTGAAACTAAAAAAAAAAAAAAAAGGCATCAGAAGAAAAACAAAACAACATGGGGGTGGGGCAGGACAGGAAGGAGGAAACAAGAAAAAATAAACAAATAAAATCATCAGTCACCTTTGTAGATCTTCTTTTTCCTCCTCATTTTCACACTTGTCTACCCCAAATTTTGCTTTCAGAGACCTGGCCCTAGCAATGATAGCTTCCACACTCATAATCTGAGCAATGATTTCCTGCAGGAGTTCAATAAAAATGAAAATTAAAAAGATGTTCTTTTAGCACTCCTGTGAACAGTGTAAAAAGTCTATTAAGTTTTTTACTCCAGTGTAAAAGCCTTACTTCCAATTTCTTGTCCTCTGTAGTGGGGAATCGTAGAACTTTACTGGAATGAGATATTATCTGCTTAATAATCTTCTTAACTGAAGATATATCTTCTAGTGCTTCTATTAGGAGGAAAAGAAATTAAGAAGTTGTAATCATTGCATCAGTGTTCACCCTAAAATATCTTAATAATTTATTAAAGGTTATTTACCTTCTTCCTTTACCTTGAGTACAGCTGCATGGATGACGCAAGGCAAGAGATGCCTTGCAAGGTCAGCTGGTTTCTGAATTGCAAGGTAATGAAGCACCTGTAACATCAGAAAATTTAGTATGAGTGATCAAACTACTTCCTAAAGATAAGGCTAACTGCGAAAGACGAGCACCTACGTTGCAGAACTCACAAGAAGGGAGCACCATGGTAAGACAGGACACAATAGGTAGTTGTTACATGAATCCTCAGAGACTGCTTACAGTCCCAACTGGATTAGAGTGAAACTGAAAATAATTGTTTCGGGAACACTTTAGTTTCCTAACACACACATGCAGATAAAAGTATGTTTTATTTACTAGTCATTCAAAGCAGCACTTAATACAGCTGATGAAGTTACATTCCACACATTATTTATTTTAGATATTTCAAACACGTTGTTGCACGGCACCAAGGATTTCTGATTAATCCTAAGCCATGTACAAAAAACAGTTTAATAACTCCAAAAATACGGAGCAACAACGTGCTAATGTTTACATCCTGCAGGAGGAAGAAAAAAGGGCTGCCACAAGTCTTGTACAAGCATTACAGAGCAGACTTTCACTAGTCACAGAACTTTTCACCTTCTCTGCCTCTCTGGTGTCATCGAACAGTCTCTTCTGCCTCCGAGCTGGGACCGGTTTTGCTGTCTCCCAGGCCTCTACCCACATGTTGCTGGGAATCTTCATTCGGGCACTCAGCTCGCCTTTAATTACGATGTTCCCCTTTTCATCAACCACTTCCTCTTCGATGTAATCCCGAGGGGAGTACCACCTCACAAAATCCTCCAGACAACAGCCAGGGTTAGCCGCCTGGAATGAAAAGGAGATAAAATTTGTGCCTTGAAAAGTCCTATAAAAACATGATAACCTGGGCAGGAAGGCAATGTGGTTTAGTGGGCAAAGCACAGGCTAGGAGCCGAAACTCAGGGAATTCAGTTCACAGTCACCAAACCGTACACTAGGAAAGAGACCTGGGAGGGTGAGGGAATGAAGCATAAACAAGACAATGGCAAGGGGTAAAACCCACACCCTCAACAAAATAAACGAACTTTCTTCTTATTGACCCAAAATAGTACATTCATCAGCTATTTCAGGCAAGCTCAAAATTGTACTGTTAAGTCAAGCTTCTATCTGGTACCTGATACATGCAATAAATAGGAATTTTCACCATTTTTTTAACGTATAAGCTTATATTATTAAAGATGAAAAACAGCCCAAGCCTAAAAGAATCACTGGGCTGCATAAATATGCTTTCAGCACTGATTTTCCATATTTTAACACTCCAGTAACAAAATTCACCTTTTCTTCCTTTAAAAAGGAACTTAAAAAAAAAAAATCTCCCCTAAACCAAAAAAAACTTCACTTTTCATAGATGCAATGTCAACACAAATGCATCTGTAGGTCTAGAACATAAAAGGAAAGCCCACTTTCTATTCGATGTACCTACTGAGAGTGCCCTTCCACTTCAAATTGTGGTTCTGTATTCTTACTTCAACTTTTTAGATCACTTGCACCATAGAAATAAAAGTGCTACATATATCTGACACGAATCTCTGCTAATAAACTGATATTAATGTTACAAATACTCTTATTCTACAGTACATTCTACAGTATCCTTTTACTACAAACTAACATGGCAATAATTAAAAAAAATAAAAATCGCTATTTCATGACAGAATGGCCAGTCTTTTTAGAGTTTTGAGATCCTTTGATGACAGCAGTATACGTGCTCTTAGCTCCCTCTGCAGAGCTCAGAAAAGCAATGGAACAAATTACCCAAAACCACAGCTAGTCCAGTCCCAGTTTGATGAACAGCTGTACAGGACTTTAAATAGTGATAACTTATCCTTCCTACTAGCGAACAAAACATCTTCAACTACACATGAAAATCATGTTCTCCTCCCCAAAGTCCAAATACAGAATTGTGAATATGTTAATAGATTTTTTTTTTTTCTTTACACCACCCTTACTTACATTTTATCCATTTGGGATCTGTGCATTTCACAAAATGAGACACAGTGGAAAGCACAGGCAAGAGAGACACTAAATCACAGAATCACAATGTCAGGGATTGGAAGGGACCTCAAAGGATCATCTAGTCCAATCCCCCTGCCGGAGCAGGACCACCTAGATCAGATCACACAAGAACGCATCCAGGCGGGTTTTGAACATCTCCAGAGAAGGAGACTCAAAAGCTACAAGGTGGTGGGAGGGAGAGACATGTAACTGATTCAGGACTTTGATGCTCAGTTTTCTTCTGATACCATTTCACATGACCTTGTCTGAGTTTTAATTCTCAATTTATCAACAGCATGTTTTGGTTTTTTTTTCCCCTCCCACAAACATTGTGTAAACTTACTGGAACGTTACAGCATAATAGACTGGATAGTCATAGATGTCAAAACGTTCAAAGAGTTTTATCAATAGGCTTTTATTTTCAACTTTAAACTATTTTGCAACTGGTTTGTAGAGGAAAAAAAAACAACTCATCACAAAAACCTTCAAAATTGTTCAACACAAGCAACAGGGACAGCTTATTTAAGAAGAAGGCAGTCTCACACAAGTAGTACTACCTTAAAAGACTCCATGTCTGAGAGCAAGCAGGCACTCTGCATGCGTGCCCGAAGATGAGCACCTTCTGCTGACGTCCCTAGTTTTGCCAGTACCTCAGACTGTTCTTCCAGCAAATCTTCAGTCATGGGTGCTGGTTCCTGCAACACGGAAAAAGACAAGTTTACAAACAGCCTCTCCCAGATTTAGTCCTTAAGGAAGGAGGAGTGGAAACCTCCCTGTGACCAACAGTTCATTCTACTTTATTTGTACTCAAAGGAAATAATCATAACTTTCTCCTGCTAAAACTGTTTAGCCTAAAGCTGTGCAACTGAAGAAGACACTAACAAGAAGAAACTGAAAAGGAAATAACCTGAGAACGAAGTAACAATACAAAGATATATTGTTAAAATGCCAAAATGCAGAAGTAGTCCAGGAAGCGTTTGACTGATATTATTTTGTTGAGATGGATGGAAATCCACCTAAAGCAATGTAGAGTTTTTGCTGTTGATACTGTCAGCACATAATTCACTGACATTCTGCCTGACTATACCTTTTACCCATGCAAAGCAACATTCATTAAAATTAATTTCTCAAGTGAATAAAAATACTGTATTCTTCGTGCGTGGCTGATTTCAAACTACCTCCTCTGACATCACTGCTTCTTATTTCATCCCTAGGCACTCTGCAAGAAAGTCTGTGTCAGATAACATTTCTAGTTGTTTGATAGTTAACCTGCTTTAGATAACGGCACCAAAAACTCATGACTACGGCCTTTGAGATATGAGTTCAGAAATATTTTTTTAAAAAAAGAAAAAAAAAGTAGTAGCAAAACTGATCCAGTACTCTGGTCAGTCAGCTAGAAATCTTCAAAGACCATGGCAGTTCCTACTTTCCAGGAAAGAAACTAAAGAGGGGATGGAAGATGTCTCAAGATCTGGAAATGAAAAGAAACCCAAATTTAAGGTAGGCAAGACAGCTTAATTCTTGTTTAAAAAAAATTGGTTTGAGTGAAATTTGGAAAGGAGACCCATTCTCAAATAAAACCTAGAGCATGTGAGATTTCGGTTTAAAGAGCCTCATCAAGTATTAAAATGAAAAATAAGGTCTTAGGCCAAAAACATTTAGCAATTTTAACAACAGATAAGGCTATAACCTGCAAACTATACACAATTTCACAATTCCAGTATGAGCCATATTGCACGAGAGCTGTATTGCACATCTGGCTCAGCTCTTGCTACCTAACCTGTGTTATTGGAATGTAGAGAGGCTCTCCTGGATGCAGCAGCGTCAGCTTTCCGTGGGGATGTAGACGACCTTCTGGTTTTAAGTTTACAGGATCTTTGTTGCTTTCTTTTGCTCCTCCTTTCTTTCCATTTTCCTGCCCATTTCCTTTAAGATCTTCTGTGTCACTTAGACACTCAAAAAATTCCTCTTCACTGTCACTCCACGATTCCCAAGACTTGCCAACTTCTTTTTCCTTATCAGGGTTATCCCCAGAGTGGTCTGTTCCTTTTCCAGCATCACCAGGTGAACGATCAGACACGTTCCCCCTTTTCCCTTCATCTCTTGCTTTCTTTCTTTCTATGCAACAATTTAACATCTAACAAGTTAAAGGAAAAAAAGAATTGTTTAGTAACTACTTCTCGTATCGAAACAATGTCAGAGAAAAACTTGCAAAGTCACCAAAAACCTCTTACAATTCTAAAATCTACAAATTCCATTGAACTTGTTGCTATAACAAAGATTTTCCCAAGAAATGAAGTCCAGATCCAAAAATACAAGCATAGCTAAATTACAACAATAGAGTTAGCTAATAGTTGCTGTAATTTTGACAGTTTCCTTAGGAGAAAAAAACATTCCTAAATTTGAGATATTTACCTGAAGTTTCTGATGCAGTAAACAGCACCTCAGATCCGGAGGGCCACTCGCTAATCTAACAAAGGCAGAAGTGTAACCATTAGCAATTATAAAGTTGAATCTTTCACACACGTGTGGTCTTAAATCATATGAAACCCAAAAGAGGGGCAAATATCCACATCGAACCCACCCCCACCATTTCAAGTATGCAGCTCTTCTACGTCTCAGAAGACGAGCTAGTGACTGCATAAGCCCAGAAGTTAAACTACATTTGTTTCTTCAAGGTCATTCCTGAAGCTCAGAGATCATTCACATGAGTATGAAACAGACACGCCCTGCCTCTCCTGGTCAGTTTTCCATCTGGGAGTTAGAAGGGTAACTGTTTTCAAACAATAACTAAGCACCTTTGACTTTACTTTTAAAACTGCAATGATACAGTAGGGTGATCTCTATATATTTCAACTTCTATTTTATCTGTTAGTGGAACCATTTGAAAGTACAGACTAGTGAATAAATGGCCAGTTCGGCCCATTTCAAAAAAAGAGAATATTTTTTCGTCTACATCAATACCTCATCTTGACAGAACCCTTCATTTGGCTGCAACAAGCTCTACTGCAGCAGACGTAGCCTAGAAGGGCTAGAATACTTGAGACAGCGTTAGCTGCCTGAGAAGGCTACTGCACCAGCAGGGACTTGGATATAAGCTGGAACATAGGAGGTTCCGCTTAAACATGAGGAAGAACTTCTTCCCAGTAAGGGTAACAGAACACTGGAACAGGCTGCTCAGAGAGGTTGTGAAGTCTCCTTCTGTGGAGATGTTAAAAACCCACCTGGACACGTTCTTATGTGATCTGATCTAGGTGGTCCTGCTCCAGCAGGGGGATTGGACTAGATGACCCTTTGAGGTCCCTTCCAATCCCTAAAATTCTGTGATTCTGTGAACTTGGAACAGCTCCCTTAGAAAGTGGTGAAACTAAACCACAAAGCACGGGTGTTTCTCCCTATGTCAGCTCCTTCATTTTACCTAACCATCAACTGGAAGCCAAGCATTCACACAAGCTTTTTTCTCCCCCCTCCCACCCACATTCGCACAGCAGAGTGCTCTTTAACTTGAGCTTCCCCAGGCATCTTAAGGTTTTCAAAGGAGGGCACAGACGCTTTTCCCAACTCTCTATCCTTTTGTGCTTTGAGGAAGCAGAGTAATAAAAACAGAGGACAGCATTTGCAATTTAAAAAAACAAAACAGTGTGTTTCAAAGTCATAGTGAACTCACTCTGTCTCTGAAACAAAGAACATTTTATTTGATAAAGCGACAATTAAAAAAAAAAATCTTACCCTGGAATAAGGTAGTTGTTCTCCCATCTGTAGCGCATTTCTAACACAAACTCTTGCCAAAGATGTGCCACTCCTTTTACTCCTCCATGGTAGAAGTTTATCATACAAAGACATAAAGCTAGTTTGTATGTCAGACTATCAGAAGGAGCAGATTTAAATTGACTGAAGAGATTCTACGTAAGAAACAAAAGAAAGCAGGAAATAGAGGAACAATGGCATTTTTTCCAAAACCGTATCATCTCTTTCCTGTTTGTCAATACAAGTGGCTAACTAACATTTTAAGCCTGTAAGTAAGCATAAGCTACCAAAAAACTGGTCTTTGGAAGGAAAAAAAAAGTAATTAGAAAAAATAAATTAAAATATCATTATTTCTACCTAGAGATTCCACAAAGGTAAGTTTCTCTTTCTGAAAATTCTCTTACAAGACATCGGGCAACCACAGCGAAGTCTGTACGAACATACTCAAAATTTCTTTCCCTCTCTCATGAGTGCCAGTCAGCAAAACTTACATAATCTTCATTCTCTGGAGGAGGATTGTTTCCTGCTGAAGTGCTACTTCTGCTTTCAAATCCATCTGCGAGTTTGTCAGCAGCATCAGGAAATAAGAACTTGAAGAAACAAAAAAAATCCAAACTGCCATCAGTATGTTTTCCCTGCTTTTCCCACTTTCTCCATAAAGCTACTGCTGGTTACGTAACAGCAATCCCTATAATTAAAACTGTTAGCAGAGTTCAGAGTTCATTTTCAGTCTGCTTATACTGCAGAGACTTGTAACAACTTAGGCTCTTTCAAGAAGTTGATAAATGCAATTCAAATAATGCAACCGACATCAGACACTTATTTATAATTCTGCTATAAAATACAAACCAAATGCATCAGTGGAAGCATGAAACACGTTTTATACGAATTTAATGTGCATGGACAGCTCACTTACCAGAAGAATAGTGTTCAGAACTTCATTGTTTAAAGGTGATTCATCTACACCTCTGTGTTTGCGAATTTTTTTCTTTGCACTGTGAACCATATTTGTGACTGATAATTTATGGATTGGGACTGGTGCTGGCTCCGTGAGCTTCGACAAAGCATGGGTAATATCAGCAACCTCTATATAATAAAATAAAAATAATCAGAACAAAATCACAAGATCATCTCTCTTTAAAAGTTCATCTGCCGTATTCAGTCTATCGATCTTGTATGGATTTTTAACACTCTGTTAACCAGAGCTACACCTCTGTCCTCTCAGGTTCCACACCTGGTATTCACTGCTCTTAGCCACAAAGACAGGCAGCAGAATGAGGTCACAAAGGAGTCACAGACTGTCCTTGATTTAATTTACTGCACGAAGTCTGGACTGAGCTGGCTGCAGATACTGCCTGCCACCTACTGTAGTAGTACTGCACACTTGCAGTTACTGAGAGAGTATCAGCAAAAGGCTGCTGAAGAGCCAGGGTTTAAACTTTGTTTATACACAACACCAACAAACAAAGACTAGGCAAGCTATGCTAAAGCTTTAGATAAGGCTTAAATAAATCCAGTATTAATCACTATATGTATATATATATATATGACCTTACATGCTATAAGCATAGTTCTGTTTCAGAGGCCTCAGGTAAACTCAAATCAAAAGATTTTTTTCCACGGTTGCTGCTGGTAAACTTTAGAACCTTTCTTACAATAAAATAAATTAACATGGAACATTGTTAAAAAGAAGGCAGATAAATTTAAGTGAATAATTACCAGCAGCCTGAAAAACCTCATCTTGGTAAACATTTCAACAAAATTAGAGATAAGGAGGTTTAAAGAGACTTTATGTCAAGCACTAGGGTGTTACACATACCCTACTCAGTCTAACACCTTTTTAAGCTAACTAGCGAGCTCCTTCAAAACCAAAACCAAGTATAATCAAAGAAAATACACTGATACAGGCCATATCTGGAGGGAAGAAAAAGGTGACAAGAGGCAGGAAGGGAGGGAATGTTCACGATATACAGCAAAACAAGTGAAAGAAAGGGACAGAGACATCAAAAAGATGTCAGTATTTATAGTGTCGGGATAAAGTCTGAACTGTTGGTCAGAAAATTTTGGTTTGGTTGGTTGGTTTTTTTTTGTTTTTCCTTAAAATTGCTTAAAATGGAGAGGATGACAGCAAAGCCTTTCAAACGGGTTAAAAACTTTTTAAACTGGCTGTTAAAACACGCACTACATAGTAATTCAAAAAGCAGAAAAAAAAAAGAAAAAATACAAAAACACGTAAAACAACACAGATAAATCTGTTTATTGTGTGCTCAGAATCAACTCTTGTACATACCAGTCAAATTTTAAACTCTTGTTTAAAAAAAATACAACTATAACAAAGACAATTGTCCTCTGGGACTTCGAAAGCTAAGCTTGCCTAGAATTCATGAGAAATTATACCATGTAGCACTGACCACAAAATTCCTAGAGGGATTACAGAAAATGCCTCTAAGAGTCACAAGAGTAAATACTGATCGATCTGAAGTCAGGAAAGCGGGATAAGGTAAAATAACATGAAACAATTAAAAACAAATTAAAACCAAATAACACAAATCAACAAGATTTTAGTTTTACCTTTTCCTTCCTCCTCAAACGCAGACCTTCCAAGTATCTCATCAGTGGACTCCTTGCGACGGCAAAGCTTGAAGAATTCAGTAAGAAAGTCACCTGCAAGAGAAACAAAGTTTCTGAACAACTACTCAATTAAAATCTCATTGAACAATAAGCTAACTCTCAAAACGATGCCCAAGGGATGGTAAATTTCATCTTTCCATCTGAAAGAACATGATAATTTGTTCTGAACGACAAATATTTTTAAACCACATAATAAAGGTTAGGAAAACACACACCGAGACAGCTATCGGCTACCTCTCCAGAGCACAGTTCTACATGCAGCTTAGTCTACTTCTTCACACAAAGCAAGATGAAATTTCTGCAGCATGTTCATTTTTGTTTAGTTTTGAAGCTCTTTTCCCCCACAAGATAAAAGGCAAGGATGGACAATAGTACACCTCTCCAGGTGTACCAATTCTGCCTGACAGTTTGATTCAACTAAGGCAATGGATACATGCAGAAGGCACTTAGTAAAATTTAAAGATTCTAGGAAATCTAAATTTTCACAGAACACACAGAATAATGCTTATTCTCTGGTGAAGTAAGAACAGCAATGAAGTTCATGGCACACAAATGCAGAATAACCTGCACCAGAAACTTGTTTTTGCAAGGCTTGTGTTCTTGAAGAAGCAGCCCAAAATACTGTCCACTCAAAAAAAATATGAGGAGTGAGGAAACCGGTAATCAACAACTCAACCCGAACTTCACAACTTAATAGCTTAAAAGCCATAAGAGAAGACAGGGAATTCTGATGTCTTACCCAACAGACACTGAGGGTTATCTGCTTTTCTGACTCTCACGGACCACTGGGGTGCTTGAATAGGATCCAGGTCACTTCAAAAAAAAAAACAACACAAACAAAACACGTGTCATGCTGTCAGCGTAAGTACGCAGGAGAGAAGTACCGATTTCTCAGTAAACGTGACATCACAGCCAGTTAGGCCATGGAAGCCGTAACAGACACCACGTTACGGAGGAGAGCATGGCAAACACTCTAAAATGCAAGCAAGAGTCCTTGTTCTCATGTGCACATGTAACATGAACGAGACACTCATGAGAACAATTCTGTTACAACTAAATTGTCTTCTTTTAAAGTGTGTTAATGTTGAAAACTCATTTCTGCACTTATGAAAACAATGAACCACTTCTTTTATTTCTTTCTTAAGTATCAGCACACACTGTTCTTCCTCTTCAGGAGGCTTAGCAGAAAACCTGGATGATTGTTTTTGCGAGGGTGATGTCAAGCAGTTAATTCTTTTTGCTTCCCACTACCATCTTTTCCAAGAAATATGCAATACACAGAACTTTTGAATCTAGCATGAGAACACACCCAAAAATTGAGGTGTACGTTCTGTTGCGAATACAATACAGTATTTTCTCATACAGAAACGCATTTCAAAAGAAGGTGTTTTCCCATATCAACTAACCCTAGCATTCCTCAAAATGGGTTCTCTTTCACACACAGAGCCATGTGCAACATTTTTAGATGTCAATAAAATGCAGTAGTTAACAAACAAAATACACTTCTAGATATGTGCAATTCAGACAAAATACTTACGAATAAACATCATTGTCAACAATTATACCTTCCGTTAGGTGAGGCCATGTCGTAGCTAAATGAAGCTCACTGAAAAGAAACAAGATTTAAATCTTTCAGTGCTAGTAGGAAGTGTTCCCTCCATCACAGCTAAGAAAGGTATTTATGAGTTTTCTCGTCGCATACATTCTGTTGGTTATTCTACAGCACGTCACCCAGTATTGCACTAAACTTTACTAGTACCTGGCATACAGGATTCTTTCACAGCTCCTCTCTGCAAAAGGAGACATTGTGCATTGTATTCTAGGCATCCAGGTACAGGGGAAAGAAAACTTTCATGAACTGTCTACAGCATCAAACACCAATGCATTAAAACGATTTCTAGATTTGCTGAGTGGTGATGGGATATTCAGAAGAGGACACAGAGAGATTGTAATTACTCAGTTTAAAGACCTTCTCCATTTAAGTCTTCTACAAATGTCAAAGTAAAAGATGACAGCAAGTCCAACTCTTGAATGAAGGTACCCCATTTTTAAAGTTTATCTCCAGTTAAGGTATATTTCAAAATAATAGTTCCAGAGATAGAGTACTCAGAAGTTTATGGCTAAAGATTCATGAGCTAGAACTCTGAATATCTTTAGACAATTTTGCAAATGGTCTTATTTGCTACTAGACCATTACGTTTCACAGATGTTTCTTATGTACTTGAACAATTAAATCATTTGTTAGGGACATGCTAAGTGACAGGCAGGCAAAGCTAAGATTTGAAATATCATACCTTTAAGTACTCCATTAAGGAAGTTATAAAACACAGGTTTCCGAACTCTTGTCTTACCTAATAGGATCCTCACAGGCACCAAATGGTAACTTCCCAAACTCAAGGCCTCCAACTTCTCCCCCAACTAGAGCATCTATATCTGAAGACAGATCAACACATTTTCCATACACAATTTATGGAATATTTTAAGATGCATATCATCTTAATTTCACAGCAAAAAGACTGTAGCAAGTAGAATGGCCAAAGAATAGCCAAACAGCTAAGGTGACAGAGCTACAAAAATGTAATACTAGCATATAGTCAAAGTAATTGTTTCCAGCAGAAACTGGGAAGTAATCGTGCAACTGGACACCCAAAAAAGACAGATAAAATTCTTGTATCCGTGGTGAGGGAAGGTTATTCCCTTCATACAGGCAAAGATGATAGCTATAAAGGCATCCTTAAAGAGTCAATGTTGATGCAAGAACAAATAGACACAAATTTGCCATAAAAATATTTAGGCAAGAAATCAGCTCCGAGTGGAAAAAGGGAGACTCCAGAAGAGCAACTCTGCAGAGTGAAAAACCAACTACTTTTAAAAGTTTGATAATTTTATGAAAAGAGTGGTATGTAACGTCTCCTGCAGTCAAATCATTAACACAAAAATAGACGGCCTTCATTGACAAAAAATTCAAATGGGTAATAATGTACTGTAATTCCATTATAATAATGCTATTACAACGTCTAATCCTTTATTCTAAATGCATCTGGCAAATGGTTTACTTACAAAACAAATGAGGCATTTGAACAGATAAAGTATTTGGATAACTTAATCGCGTAATTTCTCCACCTTTCTTCTTCAGAGAAGATGAAAGACATATTTAAATCCTTTGGTTTCACTTCAGAAGAGCTAATTGAGGGAGGGTAATGAAGTACAGGTCTAGCTCTTCTTTTACAATGAACATAAAACCACAACCGCAGGTACCAACAGCAGTAAAAACAATGCTGTCCCTCTCCAGTTTCTGCGATACGCTATACCACTCGCTCCCTCAACCAGAGTCTTCTAAAAGAGTAAAATTTATTCAAACTGCTCAAATCAAGGGATATTATCAGAGTGGTACAACTCTTTCATCACAAACCAGGGATTCTGACTTAATGAATAACTACAGCAAGGCAGAGAGAGACTACAGAAAACATTGACTTCCGTGTCTGCAGAAATAATAAAAAATAAAATCTATAGAACTAGCTTCCCAGGTTCTTTAGATGAACTTGGTTTACCTACAAAGATAAACTATCACTTAAAAAAGCACTGATTTTCTCTGACCCTAAAGAACAGGATTCTCTTTAAAGGCATTTTCAACAGCCCTTGCATACAAAGCACACAGGATCAACTTCACTACAGGCTTCTTCAAAACATACCTTTGATTAGTCCAAGAATTATTTTTTCTTTTAAGCACAGGAAAGCCAAACAACTAGGTAACCCGACCAAAGTCACACAGGATCCGTCCCTCTAAGTGTGCCCTAAATACTTTAACCTTGTTACATAAAACTACTCCCAAGCCAAGAATAGAACTTGGGAATTTTAGTTGTTCCACCACCTTCTGCCTAAAATAAATCACTAGTAAAAACGTTAGTTAAGAAGGAATTCACACCTACTTTTTTCCTATAGATTTGTCTAACTTTGAGCCAGGAGAAGTTTACAATTTATTTTCTGATGCTGCCTATATATAAATAGGTCTGTTAAAAAAAAAAACAAAACAAACACATATCCTGGACACCCCAGGAAGAAAGTGTTACCACCAAGCATGCATATGAGAGTCCATTGTGAGATTACCAAGTGAGCCAACTCACTCCATTTTTCTAAATAGCATCACTATGGCATAAATCCATCACATCTGGTGTACGTAGTTTAGATTTAAGACTATACATTACTTTCCCCTTTTTTCCCCTCAGACAAGGCTACAACAATAAAAGGCTTGATTAGAAATCTTTCCTACATGAAAAAAATACATCAATCAACAACTTGGCTTGTTTAGCACTGTGCAAACAGAGAAAAATCCCAAATTTTACCTCAAGTGAACACCATATAGTATTTTATCATTTTCCCATTGTTAATACACTTCAATAGTGAAGTATTAAAATGAGTTGCTTTACGGAAATAATTGGCAAATACTCCTGTGAAGTATTAGCACCTGCTAGAACCTAAATCTGAAAGTTTCCCTACGGCATTCAGAGTGGAACTCTTCACAGATCCACGGCCCGTCTTCCTTTTCTCTCCAAACAGATACCACCATTTCAGAAGTGTCACTATGTCTCTAAACACTAATCAAAAAAAGCATATTTCTAGGCACAGTCCTCACCAAAACACCTGTCACAACCATAAGCCACAGACACGATTTCAGAGTAGCTTTAAGCTTGCTAGCCTATCTAGGGAGCAGGATGGTAGTCAGTTGTCACTGAAGCCTCTCCCAGTAATGCAGAAAATGTTTTAATTCTTCTGGCAAGACACACAAACATTTTCTTTAGCATTGACTGTTTCTGTTAAAGCAAGTTATTCTGAGGACATAAAACTCCCACCTGGTGGCTGCTGCGGCCAGAAATACTGCTGCCAGTCTTGAAGCACATATGTAAGCCGAATAGCCATGCTGATGGGAGGCAGTGGTGTTAAGGGGCATCCCTTGAAAACAGTAAGAGAAAAAATTCCATGTGAAGAGTACATCCTCTCAAACACCCCAGGCCTTGAACATAACTTAGTTATGATAGCTTCTGTTAGAGCTAATTTCAACAGAACTGCAACACCCCAAGAATTACTAGCAAAGCCACTGCTCAACAAGACACAGGTAACAGTAAGCACATAACCTTCCTAAAATCTATGAGATATTCACACATTCCATTTAAAAAGTAACTCTGACCCAGAATGCGCTAGGTTTTCATTAAGGATTTTTTTTTGCCCCTCAGGATTTCCATAAGATTGCTGACTACCAATATTAGTGGTGAAGTGTTGCAGTCAGCCACACCACTCCATAAAAAAGCAGCCCACTCCTCAGCTTTCATCACGTTGCTCTTCACACTTAACTTAGCTACGGGGAGCTACAAAGTATCAGAATAAAACCCCAACCTGAGCCTACCCGCCACATTTAAACGGCAAAACAGAGTTTGCTCTGGGGAGGGGGAAGAGAGGGTTGTTACAAGGAGATTTACTGTAAAACAGTGCACCAGTGGAAAAAAAAAAAGTAAGATGATGACACTCGAGGAGCAAAACCCATACCAATTTTCACTCTTTATTGCTGGACACTGATGATATCTGGAAAAAGACTTTGTTGGTATCGGTAGTGTGGGCCTCATCCTTAAAAAAGAAAAAAATCCCTAGAAGATGGAAGTAAATCTACAAGCAGTCACGTAACAAAATAATTGTTCTTAATATCAGTTACATACGTTCCGATAAACTTACAATCTTGGATTTGAAGACATCCAGCAATCCCGATAAATGAGTGTACTGGTTTGGCACTCTGCGAAGATGAACCATTTCGAAGTCAGTTCGAACTCCTGGACCCTGACATTCTCCAACGTACATTCGTCGCCATTTATGATGGATTTGCACAAACAGTGGTACCTGGCTACAAAAGATGAATATTTCAAATGATTCAAAATGTCATGCTGTCTTGTAGTCTTTAAAACTAGCTAAATATTTTTAACATAATTTCAACATAATTTCACATTCTTCAGAATACATTTCTCTTAGTGGAACACAGTTCGAAATGCTTAATAGCAATCACAGAAAAAAACCTGTTAGCTTCACCATTAAATAAAACACCTAACAAATTGTGATGTCATAAGCAAAGTCCTATCCATGACTTCTGTTACCTAACTTTCAGTCTAAATATTTTTGAAGAATATTAGAAAGTTCCTGTTAATACACACAGGGAAGAACTCCTCTTCCAAAAGTTGTACTTTATACACCACTTATTTCAACAACTTCTAGCAGCTTTTAAAAGCCTTCGAGGTTTTTAAACAACAAGGAATATAAACAACACACTGAATCAATCTTTTTAAAATTTCCACGGGAAATTTTTTTTTAAATTCTTCTGTAACAATATTATAGCGCAAATACAACCAACTCTGGATGTATTTTGCTAACAATTTAATACTTTTTTTCCTCATAATAGCAGCATGCTAGAGTTCTGACCGGACACGTAAAAAGGTTTGTGCCTTCACCTACCAGCCAGTGTTCCCCAATGCAATGGAAATGGAACTCAGCAAGAGGTTACATTTGGATTCACTAAGAACTGCATCGTTATTTGCAGCCGGAGCGATAACCACAAACTCACGTAAGCCATACCTTAAGAGACAGGACAAAGAAAAAAAGAGTATATGTCTGGGTTTTAGTAAATCAGCTGAAACACAGAAATTGTAGAAATATTATACCCTGCATACCCTAATTGTCACCAAAAGACTGCGGAATCTGTTATTTTGACACGAGAACCTCTTTCAGAAAGGTCAAGAACTGAGTGGGCATGGAGCACTGCAGATTCTCAAGTCACAAACTACTGGAGCTTAACAGTATTCAAACACATTACTCAAAATAATACGAGGACTTCCAGGTCTATCAGTCCCGAGGTTTTTACTTTATGTTAATAACAACTGTAACTATTTATACACAAGAACAACCTCTCCAGACCAATGCTATAATGTGCTAAAGATCTGCATTATTAAGAATTTGGTTATCATTGTTTCTTAAGGCGCTGCAGCTTTCCTTTTTAGAAATCCAACTAAATATCACATATACAAAAGCCTGGTTAGTCTATGAAATTCAGAAAAAATATTTGAGGGGAAAAAACAACAAAAAAAGGAAAGACAGGCCCACTATGGTGGGCTTTTTTTGCACTCCTTTCCCGTGTCCAGTACAAAAAAATCATTTTACTTAACCTTTAACTCTTGATGGAAAAAAATTTACAAGTGATTGTGCCACCATCAAAGTTTTTTCAATTTCTATGCTTACTTGTATTAAAAACAAGAAGCAGCATACGTACCATCTTACCAGACAGTGAGCTCTAGGAGGGAAGTCATTGTTCATGCACAGCAAGTCCTGCATAGGCAGAGGAAGGGCATCTGTGGAAAAAAATTGATACATAAGAAGAGCATCAGCATCTGTTCAGCTGACTTAGAATTTACTCATACTAGCTATTTGTTGAATGCAAAGCATACCAAAAGCAGAAATTTCAGATCACACCCATCAGAGCCCAGAAAATTTCACACAGAAGTAAGTCAATGCGCTATGAATTCCACACTCTGAAATTGTCTTCTGTCATATCTGTAAGGGTAAGGGAACTATCAGCTACCTTCTACCAGTTCTTCTCTCCCATCTTTGTCACTGGGTTCTTGTACAAGATAATGATGAGTAATGGAGAACACGAAGTCTGCAAATGAGATTTCATCTGATTTCTCTTCCCATGCTCCTGTGGTATATATACCCTGCATATAAAAAAAGATATTATTTGATCACATAAATTTAGGTTAACATTCATAAGCCTTAAAAAGTATAGTACCTACACAATCTATAACATTTATTCATCTTTTCCTACTGCTAAATATTTACTCTAAAATAGCCAAGCATAGTTTAATTTCAAAAAAACAATTCTCAAAGCACTTCGTTATAAAGGCAGCCGAATGCTAAAATCCATGTTGCCAATATCACATTCATTTCAAAGACCACATATCCCCCTGAGAAGTCTTCAGAACTACATAGCAACAAAGAGGCAGATGCATCATCTCATATGCAACTATGCATCTCAAGCGTATGCACCCTCAACTCTGCGCAAAGACAGAAGCTTCCTGGATTTTATCTCTATTTATACCACCCCATGCAAACACTACTTTTATATTTATTCTGAATATGCTTTCATTGATAAACAATTTTGTATCTATAATTTGCAAAACTTCTTTGTGTCAGGATAATTAATTTTTAAACAAAAACACAACATAGGAAAGTTTCTAGGAAAAAATCAACATCACTGTGCAGAATTGTATGCTGCTACTAAAACAAAGCAAGTTGGACAATCCTTTGATCTGTAAAGCGTGTCTTCTCACTAGAAATCAAGAGGAGGTCTGTTCAAGAAAAGAAGACATGTAGGAATATAATGACAGATAAGGTTGAAAACTAGTTCATTAGACAATGTAAGTTTTAATTCTGAATACTATACACTCTGACTAAAATTAAGCCATAACACTCCTCTGGAAACACAGCAGCCATACAATCCAGAACAGCTGAATTTATCTGCACTAGTATGCAGAAGAGCTCAGCAATTTCCTCTGCATTTTACAGGACTGAGAAAGCACTGCACAGGCTCTAATTAGACTTTGAAAAAAACCTCTCCGATCTACGAAACATACTGAGTCACAAGTAACACTACACAAACCTCAACCATAAGTATGTGAGGTGTGACAAAGGCACAAGGGAGGGCAAAAAAACTCCTTAACAATTCTGAACAGCTTCAACCATGTTTCCAGATACGAAACTGGGAATAATAAAAAAAAAAAGTCACTAGGTCCTACACAAAAATCCAACTTTAGCAGGGAAACAGCCTGTTTGGCAGAGAGCCAACCAATAAAGTGACAGCAACTGTTTGTCCAGTTCCTGCTTTTACAAGCGAAATTCCCCAATACAAATCACTATGTGCCACACTTAGGAAAATGGCAATGCATGTAAACATATACATCCGTATTACTAGTTAGTAATTCTAAAAGGAAATTCAGAAGCAGTAACTGACCTTTTCTAGAGGTTTGCCTGAAGAAATTCCAATAAGTTTCCAGTCATTCAACGCTTCTTCTATTTTTGAAATAAATCTATTAGGAAGGGGAAAAGGCATTAATATTTGCCGAACACGAAGCTTGTACTATAATTCAGCTCCCTAAAAGCAGCCAATATGCAGTCCTACTACAGAATTCCTTAAGAAAAAAAAACCCAAAACCAAATAAACAACAAGTTTCACAATAAAAACAGAACAATTGCTTCCTTGTACAAATAAAACGGCCCTCCTATGTTTACATTTCAGATGCTAATTACTTTTAGCAGCTGCTAAGAGCATTGTTCATAGATAAATAAGCACTCGACACAAAATTATACATTAAATTAATATTTAAAACGCAGCACTTAGAACCTTTGTCTCCTTCTGTCAAAGAAATCGTCACTGGAAGAAAAAAAAAACAAACCACAAACCCACACATTAAGAATGCAAGAGCATTCTTCATCTCAAGTTTTCTTGTACACCGTTCTACCGACTCTTAAAGGCTTCAGCTACAACTGTTTTAGTAACCACGCAGCTGCTCGAGGACCACGTAAGCCT